TGACGGTCTGGGAGCGAATATGACTGTGAACGGGTTGCAGACGGGTTGCAGTGTGAATGAGTCTCAGTATTATCAGTGCGCCTCTGCGCATGAGCCTGGTGGGCTCCTGGGGTCTCTTGAAACCTCCTGGGGCTTCCTGGTGCCTCCTGGAGCCTCTTGGGGCATCCTGGGTCCTCTTGGGGCTTCCTGTGGCCTCCTGAGACCTCCCAGAACCTCTTGTGGCCTCCTGGGGCATCCAGGAGCCTCCTGGATTGTGAGGATTCGCGCCCCTGGAGAAGCCGAATCTATAGAAACAAACGTGAAACACATCGGATTGGAGCCACATCAGAGGGGCAATCTACAGGAACACACGTAAAGCACCAAGGACTCGTGCCCCAGGGCTGGCCCAATCTATAGGAACATACGTAGAACACTTAGGAATAAATGCGCAAAATAAGGACAATCTATAGGAACATACGTAAAACATGTGCGATTGGAGCCAGTCCTGTGGCCTTCTGAGGCCTCCTTCTCCTGGGGCTTCGTGGGGGCTCCTGGAGCCTTCTGGGGCCTCCTGGTGCCTCCTGTCGCCTCCTGTGGCCTCCAGTGCCCTCCTGTGGCCTCCTGGTGCCTCCTGGTGCTTCCTGGGGCCTCCCGGGAGCCTCCTGGGGCCTCCTGGTGCCTCCTGTGGCCTCCTGGGACCTCCTGTGGCTTCATGTGGCCTCCCGATGCCTCCTGGGACCTCCTGTGGCCTCCCGGGTCCTCCTGGAGCCTGCTGGAGCCTCCTGTGGCATGGCATCCTGGGGAGGATCCGTGCCCACGAGTCTGGCCAGCGGAACAGGCAAACCGGTCGAGGCGTCCTCGCAATCTGGGCCCCTGGGGTGCGAGGAGCCAGCGCCTCGCACGAGACACTCTCTCCAAGTCTGCTCCGAGAGCGGAGGATGGCGAGCTGATCCACGGGCAAGCCGCTCGAGGCCCGCCACTGTGGCGCGAACGGACGCCGTGAGGTAGCCTGGCGGCTCTCCCCTGGGGGGTGCTGGCATCTGCGCCTCGCTCGAGACATCCTCAGAATTTGCTCTGGGCGCAGACGGGCCTGGCCCCCCAAACAAGCAATCCGCTCGAGACATCCTCGCCATCTGGGCCCCCTGGGGTACGAAAACCAGCGCCATCAGGGGGAGGGGAAGGGAGGAGGGTGCGTGAGGACGGTCCGCGCGGTCACAGTAATAGCAAGAACCCCACCCGTCGGATATGTGGAACAATCGGGCCGCACCGAAATCCAGGGCACCTGTCTTCGCGATCCGCGCTCAACGAAGCGCGAAGCGCAATAATCTTCGCGCCTTCGCGCGCCCCACCCCCCCTCCGGAACAGGATCAGGGACTCGCGCCACGCTCTGAAACAATCGATCGCCCCGACCGCGAGACGCGAAGGCGCGACGAACTTCGCACTCCCGCGGTGGCCCTGGGACATGTGCGTCAGATCGGTCAGCATCGGCACGGAGTCGAAATCGACTCGGGTCCGCTGCTCCAGGATGCACAGCAGCGCCATGCAATCATCGGGCCCCGTCGGGTCGTCGGAATGTCGGAATCGACTCGCATCGTCACCCACATCGGAATCGAATCGTAATCGAGATCGGCCAGCCGAAACCAATACCGAATCGGACCGATCGGATCGAGATGGACCCTGGGAGGGGGGGGGGGGAGGAACGAGGAGAGCGTGGGACGGGCGGCACGGGGAAGAAGAGAAGGGAGAGGGGGGAGGAGAGAGGAGAGATAGGTGGCGACATCCGAACCCTACCCCACCAACCATCGGGTCTCCTGAATCGATGGGAGGCTGGGGAGGGGGAGGAGGAGGAGGAGGAGGAGGAGGAGGAGGAGGAGGAGGAGGAGGAGGAGCAGGAGGAGGAGAAGGGGGGATAGGGTCCGGACTTCGCCACGTGTTCGGCGAGTTCCGGACCCTACCCCCGCCGCCCCTCGAGTTGCCCGAAGCGTTGATCGGCGAGGGCAGGGTTCGGATTCCGCCGCCGAAGAGAGGACAGAGAAGGAGGGAGGGGGGAAAGGAGGAGGGAAAGGAGGAGGAGGAGGAGGACCAGGAGGTCATGCAGAAAGGACGAAGATGGGAAGCGGAGTAGGAGCTGGATCAAGAGGAGGGCACGCAGAATGAGCAAGGGAGGGAGGGAGGGAGGGAGGGGTGAGGGAGGAGTGAGGGGGAGGAGGATGACGCGGAGAAGCAGGATGGTAAGGAACATGGAGAGGAGGAAGTGGAGAAAGAGGATGCACTGGAAAGAGAGAAGATCGATTGTAAGGGAGGAAGGTCGAAGGAGGGCGGGGGAGAGGAGGAACAAAGAGGAGACTGGAGGTGGGAGGAGGAGAAAACATCAGGAACAGAAGGCGAATAGGAGGAGGAGGCAGGAGGAGCAGAAGGCAAATATGATGATGAGGAGGAGGAGAAGAAGACAGGAGTAGGGAGGGAAGAGAAATGATGGAAAGGGATGAGAAAGGAGGAGGAGCGAGTAGGGGGAGGATGAAGAGGGGAAGGAGGAGGAGAAGGAGGATAAGGAGCAAGACCCCTGTAAACTCCAGACGCATCAGCAATGTTGCGATAAACCCTCTCTCCAAACCCCGATACCACAAGGTCCTCAAATATGTATTCTCTTTGTGGGAGATGGTCAATTCGAGGGCAACCGTCCGAAAATCCCACATCGTGCCAATACACCACTCCTGAGACTTCAGCGCCGCGGATCAACATGACTTTTGCGTCCTGGCAATCCTAAATGGTGCCAGGACGGAACCCATTGGACTTCAACACCACGAACCAAGATGATCGCACCAATGCTTGAAACTGCGGCAAGGGTTTAAGACGAATGCACGCGGCACTGAAGCAAGAGCCCCATCGTGAAAAGGAACCACCCTCCATACTTGAAACCGCTACAGACTTTCAAGATCAATGCGCGCGCGCTGGGGCGCAACTCACATGTTGAAACGCTCCGTCCTCCATCCGTGAAGCTGCTGCAATTTTGTAGGGCAGATGTGAACTGTTCGCGGCGCTGGGGCGAGAACCACATTTCGAAAACGGGTCGACCTCCATCCGTGAAACCGTTGCAATGTTGTAAAACAAACGTGCGCGGCGCTGGAGCGAGAACCGCAATTTGAAAACGCCCCACCCTCCATCCGTGACAACGAGTGTGCCTGGCGCGAAGGCGGGAGCCACAACTCGAAAGCAGCCCACTCTACTTCCGTGAAGGCGGTTGCACAATTCAAGCTTCATGATCATTAAACAATAGAGGAAGGCCCAAGCGAAACGCCCAGTCCGCCTTGCGGACACGCCCGGGGTGCAACAGGGAGGAGCTAGTTGCAAGATAAAGGGATCAAGGGAGAAGAAGGACATGGAGGATGGAGAGATGGGAGAGGGAGAATGACAGACGGAGGTGGCGGGGAAACAGAGCAGAAGAGGGGGGAGGAGAGTATGAGAAAACGATGGGCAACAAAAGTAGAAGGACGATCAAACAGAGGAAGTGCGAAGGATGCGGAGGGAAAAGGGAGAACGGAGGAGGGAGGGTGAGCGGGAAGAACAGATAAGGGGGAAGAGGAGGTGGCAGTTGGAAGCCTCTGCGACACGCTTGTCGCGTCGGCGGACCCTGCGACAGACTACGCCTTGTAAGATGATAGCGTGTCGCCCTGCTGCGTAAGACGCGGGGCTGAGAAATTCTGAAAGTTAATGTGTGGGGGCGTGGACGTGCTTAGCGTGTCGCGCCGAAGCGTGATGAACCAACACCGACGGCACGAAACGGTACGCAACCCTCCCTGACCGTAAAAGAGTGCGGGGAGGAAACCGAACCGTACATTAAACGACATGTATACTTCGAACCTAGGTGAGGTGCGCAACGAAACAAATTGACGATTGCGGAATCGCAGGGCATCGAAACTTAACCGTAACCAATGTGTGTTTACAATATCGGACATTTTTAATGATCTAGAGATCCCTGGAGGCCGCGATCGTTGTTGTTGTCATCCCTGTCTGCAGCGACACACTAAGCAGAGGGTCCTCACGGTATGCTCCGTCTTCCTCTACGCTTCTCCCAAGGCTCCCCTCCTCCGTATTCCTTAGTATGCCTCTTCCCCCTAGCTACCTCACAGCCCTCCGAACTCTGGTCCACTTCCCCGCCCTCCTCCCCAACGCCTCCCCGCTCCTCCTCCTCCTCTTCCTCCGTGTTCTTCTGCCGCTGATGTCGGACCGAGGTGTGTCGAAGCTCAGGGGGACGCAGAGGGGTTCGGGGAGGCGTGCAGGAGAACGAACTTTGGGCACACCCTGGGACAAAAACAACTGAACCGAAGATCCAGATATTAGGGTACACATCCTCACAGGCATCTTATCGTTATCGTCATCACCATCATCAGCATCACCATCAGCATCATCATACTCACCATCGAACTTATCATCAGCAACATATCCTCAACACAATCATCAATCATCCACCGCCCACCATCACCACAAATAATCATCACCATTATCAGCATCATCATCATTATCAGCATCAGCATCAGCATCAGCATCATCATCATCATCATCATCATCATCATCATCATGAGCAGCAGCATTGGAATCATCATCAGCAGCATAATCATAATCGTATTCTCCTTATTCATCAACATAAGCAGTCTCATCATCAGCAGCAGCACCATCATGCCATCGTACTCATCTTCAACATCATCAGCATCATCATCGTCATCGTCACCACAAGCACCATTCTTATCAGCATCATCAGCATCATCATCGTCGTCATCGTCATTGTCATCATCACCATCATCATCACCATCATCATCAGCATCATCAGCATCATCATCATCATCGTCATCATCGTCATCGGCATCACCATACTCACAATTTGCCACTGGCGCGGGCGTGGCAGCCCCTTCGAGCTAAGCCTGGTAAAACTTGAAAGGAAAAACAAAGTAAGCTTGCTGAACCTACACCAGCCACGCGCGAAGGAAGACGAGAGGACGGAGATCCAACAGAGGGCGCCGACG